TTTGCAGCGTTGAACATTGATAGGAATAACATCCAAAACGCTGTATCGGATAATATGCTTGATGATTTGGGCATTACACACGCCGACTACGTGAGTTCCTTCGACAGATGGGAGACGCAACGCTGACAGAGGCAGAATATTGGACAAACCATCTCTCGAGTTGGCTTCCTTGTTGCTGAGCTGCCCTCGCAGCTTATCTCAAAGCGGTAAGCCCATTGGAAACCTCTCTTTTGTCTTGATACTAATCTTGCTGTAGAATTGGACCAGATATGTGGATCCCCATCCAGCTTTGCATCTTCAGTCTTATCTCGGCGATGCAGTTCTTTTTGAAGGGCCGTGCATCATTCCTTGCTACAAGATATCTCATGTGAGTTCCCTGAGAATATACATTTGAGCTCTTGCTAACATTGCTAGTGCAACATTCCAAGGCGGCTTTATCCCGTAGGTTTCCTTGCCGTCTTGCCCCGAAACATACCTGACAAGGAATAGTGATACGATTCTTTACCTCAGCTACTGGTACACTGGCACAAGAGTATGTCTAAATTCGATGGGAACCACAAGAAGGCTTACTGACTTTCATAGCTCCCAATACGACTAGCTTGGTTCTGGATGTCTTCCCAACTGGGTAGGTGATAGATTCGGCGCTAGAAATGCACAAGCTGACAAGTCACAGTCGATATCGGAGTTGGTTTTGCAGCTGTTGGTATGCTCTCAATGCGTGGAATGCTTGGATATGAAGGTTGGAGATGGCTCTTCCTCATCGAAGGAGCCTTCACCTGTACGTTGATATCTCGTTCGCGAAAGTCGCTCTGCTAACAAAGTCGCAGTCCTGATCGGCGTCGCGTCCTTCTTCCTGATGCCTCAATCACCCGCTAGAACAAAGAGCTGGTGGAATCCGAAGGGTTACTTCACCGAACATGAACAGAAGATCATCGTCAATTCTGGTAAGTAGTTTACCAATCAGTGGCGGACTGGGTGCTGACGACGCGCAGTTATTCGCGATGATCCCCAGAAGGGAGGCATGTACAACCGTCAAGGTCTGACAGTCCGTCAAATATGGGAATGCACCAAGGACTATGACATGTGGCCTCTCTACGCTCTAGGTCTTCTCTTTGGCCTCCCCAAGTACCCTGTCAACCAATATCTCACGTTGTCCTTCCGCGGACTGGGCTTCAACGTCATCGAGACCAACCTTCTGTCCATTCCATATATCGTCGGCTCTTGCATCACAATGCTTGCGATCACAGCGTTCAGTGAACTCGTCAACAACCGAAGCTTTGTCTCAATGGCGGAGGATGCTTGGTTGCTTCCATGCTTCGTGGCACTGATTGCGTTGCCTGACCCGATCGGGCCTTGGGCTTACTTTGCCATCTCGACCGTTCTTCTGTCTTTTCCATAGTGAGTATCTTTGGTCTAACTGAACACGTTTCTCTGACAGTAGCTAGCACCCATCCCATCCAAGTCGCATGGACGAGCAGGAATGCGGGGTCTGTGCAGAACAGAACAGTCTCAGCATCGTAAGTGCTCGCATTGCTACAAAGTATCGTGTCTGACAATGTATAGGCTTTACAATATGTGGGTTCAAGTCAGTGGAATGATCGGGGCAAACAGTGAGTCCCCATGACACCGCGTGAGCTAAGTCACTAATGTATTGTAGTCTATCAACCAAGCGACTCGCCACGATACTTCAAAGCCAATACAGGTCTACTCGTCATTTGTGTATGGATGTGTGTAAGTATTATTCATCGCCTTTGTAAATGATGAAGCCAGACTCACATCTTCACAGCTCGTTCAATATCCCGGAACCTTCTTTTACTATCGGTGGAGAAATAACCAGAAGGCCAAGAAATGGGACGCCATGACCCCAGAGGAGCAGCATCATTACAGGACTACCACGACCGATAAGGGCAATAAGCGGTGAGTCTCCGTTCGGCTGCGGATCGAAATGCTACAATTTACTGATTTATATGCAGACTCGACTTTCGTTTCGCGACTTAGGCTTGGCAGCCGAGGCAGAAGATCTTGGGTGAATGAGGACGCACGGGCGGCTTCCAAATAACGGTGACGGCCGTTGTTCGGAAGGATGAGCGATTGACAAGAGTGAGATTGCTTGTATTACATGTCACTGGTCTTTATTTTAATCCTCGATCAAGCCTGAGTCAGCGTGATACACACTCTTCAATTCATTACCACTTTGAGCCGTGAACCTTATTGTCCAACCACTCAGAACCAAATCCTTCAGATTGACTTTGTTGCCATGTTACATCAATTGGAAAACACCGAAACTCAAACATTGACCGAAATCACCGAAACCTCACTTCCATCGCATCTCGCAAACCTCACCCTCCTCACTCAACCTCCCCCACCTTTTTTCGGATCAAGGAACCCGCGGCCGTTTTCCAAGTCCAAGCTATCTCTCAATCCGTCCACCAGATCGTGCCTCGGCTGTTTTTCTCTTGAATGCTCGATCGTCGCAAGCGAGCCGAGGGTCGAAACGCGGGGTTGCAGTGCCAAAAGGAGGAAAGATTGGTTGCTACCCCACACGGATTTGGCATGGGAATTCATCATTTGGTGGTCGAAACAGCTTGGTCTACCCCAGATTTGCTGTTCAGCTTGCTTTAGGCCGGGGAAATGTGTTAAATAGCCCGTAATTGATCTGTTGTTCTCCTCTTTCCATGCCTGACCTCTCTTGAAGGATTGTGAAATCTGTTTGCATTGTTCTCAAGTTTGTCTGATATCTCTGTTCAATATGGCTCTTCATTCACGATGGTCTAAGCCCATCCCAAAATGCTCCCTGCAGCAATGGGTCTTTGGTTCAGCCTCTGAGCCCATGGAAGAGGGCGATAAGCCCATCCTCATCGATGCAGACCGTCCAGACACGCACTTCCTCACAAAGGAGCAATTCCGACTTCTCTCCAAACAAGTCGCCCTCGGTCTCATGAAAGCCGGTCTAAAGCCAGGAAACAGAGTGCTGATGTTTTCCTCCAACAACATCTATTTCCCATGCGTCTTCCTCGGCATCTTGATGACCGGTGCTATGTTCACAGGTGCCAATCCCGCCTTCACACCACGAGAGCTTGCGTATCAACTCAAAAACTCTGAGAGCACGCATATGTTTGTTGTTGCGAACCAACTACCTACCGCTTTAGAGGCTGCTGAGACAGTCGGTCTTCCAAAGGAGAACATCTTTGTTATCGATCCGTCTGTGCTCCCGCCTGTTGGAACAACACCGGTTGCAGCCTCGATTACGAAGGATGGTCTTCGCATGTGGACTGATCTTGTAGCCGATAACCAGGCACAAGCGAAGAAATGGGAATGGACAGAACCCGCAGATCCAGAGACAGCAGGTTGCTGTCTCAACTATAGCAGCGGCACAACGGGCGTTCCGAAAGGCGTTGAGATCACTCACACCTCATACGTCGCCAACGGCTTAGGTGTTGTCCTCATTTCCGACCTGGAGCCTGATCCCGAGCTTCAAAAACGCACCAAGGGCCTCGCCTTTCTCCCCATGTATCACGCATACGCGCAAACATATTTCATCTCCATTTATCCCCATCTAAACATCCCCGCATACATCATGCCCGCCTTTGACTTTGAGAAGATGCTACAGCACATCCAGCGCTTCCGCATCACAAGCCTTCTCTGTGTCCCTCCCATTCTGGTCTACCTGTCAAAGCATCCTCTTGTCAAGAAATACGACATCACCAGTGTCGAGCGCCTCGGATCTGGCGCTGCGCCTTTGAGTAAAGAAGTTGCCACGAGTGTTGAGAGGCTGTGGGCTGATGGAAGCGTCAACGTCAAGCAAGGTTGGGGTATGACAGAGGTTACCTGCACTAGTATGACTTGGGACCCTCGGGTCGTGTGCGATCCTTCTGCAGTCGGAGAATTGGCGCCGAACTACTCGGCAAGGCTCATGCATTTGGATGGCAAGACTCCGGTGACGAAGCCCGGTGAGCGAGGTGAGCTTTGGGTCACGGGACCTACGCTGATGAAGGGATATTGGAAGAATCCCAGTGCCACAGCTTCAACAATTCATGTTGATGAGAATGGTACGAGGTGGTTGAAGACGGGGGACATCGCATTCGTCGAGTCCTTCGAACCCGGAGCCATCTTTCATATCGTCGATCGAATCAAGGAGTTGATCAAAGTCAAGGGCAACCAGGTTGCGCCAGCAGAATTAGAAGCCGTGCTTTTGGATCATCCCGAGATTGCAGACGCTGCAGTCGTTGGCGTTCCATATGAAGGCGATGAAGTCCCTCGCGCGTATCTCGTCAAGGTCCCTGGATCACAAATCACCGAGAAGCAGATCATTGATTGGATGGAGGCTAGGGTTGCCAAGTATAAGCGTCTCAAGGGCGGTGTCTCTTTCGTAGATATGATCCCTAAAAACCCGGTAAGTGATACCTACAAGCTCTATGGCATGTCGCTAACTTTTTGTCATCAGTCCGGGAAGATCTTGAGACGAGAACTGAGGGAGAAGGCGAAGGAGGAGTTGGATCCCAAAAGAGCACCATCTTCAAGGCTCTAGACGCAAGCCATGTCTTGGTTCCAGTGAGTACAGAATAGAGACGAACGCATTGAGAGGTTGAAGAAGCATGGGAGCATTGTACCGTATTAGCGCAAATATATTCGTATTTTATGGTGCTTGTACAAAAGCTTACAGCTTCTCTCTGATTAACTATCATTGTGGCCGAAAGTAACTTGAGCAGGTACCAATATGCCAACCCTGGTCCTGAATTCTGCCTATCAAACATTCTGTCCTCTGAAATCTCATCTGTCATTGCGAAGCAGACACATAACTCAAACATACCAAAAAGAGATGACAACCCAGTGCTCCAGATCAGTGCCACTGATGCAAGAATGAACATATCCTTGTCAACAAGGGACACAACTTGAATCTGCCGAAGACTAGAGTCCCAGTAGCACCTTCTTCCTTAAGCCTTCACAAGATATCGAGTTTCGTTCACCACTTGTGAGGAATGCGCCTGGCAACTCAACGTTCAGGCCATGGGTGAATCTGTCTGCTGACCATCAACTTGGGTGAGCTGACCGTGCTGCTCAATCACCGCACGAAGTTCTTCGAGCGACGAGCCCTTCTCCTGGAGTAGCTTGTCAAGAGTTGCAATGGCCGAAGGACTAGTTCTGACCAAGACTTGAAGGAACTCTGTGTACTTGACAGTCGTGCCGAGTCTGTCAGCAGCAGCTTTCTTCTCTTCGAGCTGGGGCGTCTCGTTGTTCATGAACTCCAGAGCAGGGCGCGCAGCCTCTTCTGTCTGATGGCAAGCCAAGTGAGCCGCACCAAGTTCCGCCTCAGCTTCCTGGAGAGCGCTGGCTTTGGCTGCCAACTGAGCCACCACGTGTTGCTCCACGGCCTCGAAATTCCCAGCGGAGGATGGCATACAGAGTTTCTGCGAGTCAGCGAGGTTCTTGAGGCAGTCGCTGAGTGTTTCGTTGTCCTTTCGAAGGCTTTCGACTTTGGTCTCGACTTGGAGGGAATATTCTTGTGCGGCTCGATATGCCTCGAGGCAGGGCTGGTGGATGTCCAGCTCGTGGTTTATGTGGTGCTGTTGAAGCTCCAAGGCGCCGATAAGTTGCTCGTGTTGCTTGCGCAAGTCTTGCACATGCATCTCAAGGTGATGATGAAAGACGTCAGTCGCCTGGACCCCCGGGGGACGTTCGTCGCACTGCTATTCCATTAGCAAAGCCCTCAAGTCAGTCAAGGAGCGATAGCTTACATGGTGCTGATCGGTCATCACGAGAGGTGTAGGAGCGGCTGGCTGAACAAGCTGCAGAGATGATGCTTCCTGGTTGCAGACACGTTTGTTGGATGGGTTGGCGGACGTTGCCGAGATAGAACGGTCTCGTTTGTTTGTGAGTGCATGGGGCATTGGAGAGGGTGTAGCAGGGGCCTCTTCGGGTGGAGTGGGCTCGTTCAGTGTTGTGATGTTTTCGTTGTGAGTGGCAGCGACGATACTATCAGCAGTGGCCTCCTGCTCACGAGCGGCTTCTGAGAGCTTCTGAGAATGGATGGCAACCAAGATGTTTGCGAGTCCTCCTCGACTAGAATACTCGTCGACCAAAGCGTCGTCGTCATCATCCGTCGCTCCAATCTCCTGCTCATTTTGGAGCTGAGCAGCAGGCTTTGACGTACTTCGAGTGAGGTTTGCGCGCCGGTTTGCACCAAAGAACTCCTTGGCGTTCTTGATATCGCACGCACGAAGTACCTTGTGTTGACCACCTTGTGGTATAGCGGCTCTTTCACGAAGTTTGTCCTTGATGGCAGACGCATCACAAACCTTGATGCCGTCTTCGAGTAGGATGGCCAAGTCTCCAAACATCTTGCGATTCTATTGCTTAGGTTCGAACTCAGCCAACCACTCCCAAGGCTTCTGGCCAATGACGTCTTCAATACGCCGAATGGAGCGTCGGATGGTCGGTATTTCTTTCGGGTTCTTAGTGACGTTCGACGGCAGCACAATCTCCTCAAGGTCAGCGGCCGGGGTTGTGGTTGGAGCCGGAGTTGGCGGGGCTGGCGAGCCTGCTGCCTCTTCAGCGTGCGCCATGACAAAAGACGAGCTTGACTATTACACAAGGCGCGCAGCAGTGAGCAGGATGTCGGTGATAGTGTTGAGTGGAAAGTGAGTTGCAAGGAAGAGAAAAAGAAAACAGAGAGATCAAAACAGAGCAGAACTCTCATATGAGCAGTAGTGCGCTTGTGCAACGCAAACACGTGACTGCAGCCTCACTCTCGATGCTGTGTAACATCACAGCCTGGATCTCATAGGCTGTGAGTCATCGTTGCCCTCAAAAAGCCTGTCCTTGCGTCGTGTTTTTGAGGATGCCTGGTTTCCTACAATGTCAGCCAGTGGTTGTCATGGATACCGAGATATCGTTAATGAAGGGCAAAGGGAAACTGGAAATAAATGACAACAGATAAAAAGCATGACGCAATCATGTTCTCAAGGTGTTTCAAGGCTTGGAGCTCGCGGAGGTGGTAGCTTGCTGAGTGCAAAGTCTCAAACCTCATGCTACTTTCAAGGACAAGCTGTCTATCGTGCATCCGGGCGCATGGAATACGATTACATCCCAATAGCAAGAATGAAACCATATTTAAGAAACACTTATTGATACTATTGTGCTTATGTACGTATAAATCCATTTATCTTTTGCGTATCCAATCCCATGTGCTTTTCACAATACTTAGGTCCTTTTTTTTTCCTTTTAGGCAAAGCATCGTTGCTTGGTGAATATTGGTCCTTTTACATGAGAGCAAACAAGAACATCATGGAAGCCCAGGCCATTCCCATAGCCGCGACTCCAGTGTTGAGAGAGTTGGCCCCAGCAGTGGGAACAGGCGTAGCAGGAATGGGCGCGGGTGCAGTTGGAGTGACGACAGGAGGGGCAGTTGGAACCTACATGGGTCAGCTTCTTCATCAAGTATTATTATGGTATCTATACTTACGACAGGCGGGGCGGGAACAACGGGTGCAACGGATGTTGGTCCCGGAGCCTTGGACTCAGCTGTGGCGCTCGGGACGGCGGTGATAGTGGCGCCAGCAGCCTGGCAGAGTCGAATGCCAGCGGAAATCGCAGCTACTGCGATCAGCGTATGCTCACATCGCGTCAACGGGATTCTCAACACTTACCAGCGGCATCACGAGGGCGACAGCTGGTGCCGACGCAGCTGACGTAGGATTCGGCGAACCCCGGAGCTTTGCAGACGCAACCGGGATCCTCAGAGCCGCACTTGCTATCTTGGATAGCCTTTAGGGCACAAGGTTGCTGTATGAAGATGTCAGTTCAGCCTTGGGAGCAGTGGCACGATTGGCTTACTGCGCACTCGGGAAGGACACTGCCGCCGCCGCCGCCTTGCCCTCCAGCCTGGGAAGTTGATTGCGCCAGGACAGACGAGGAGAGAAGGGCAGTGGTGAAAAGGAAGAAAGACTTCATTTTGAAACTGTTTGTAAATTATATTGACTCAGGTTGTGGGTGATATTCAGCGATAAGTGATCGGTCTTTCGTAGAAACTTACCAAGGAACATGGGGGATGTTGGCTTATATAGGTGACTACTTCTTCACGAAATCCAATAAAACACTATCACAGAAGGGCAATGGAGCTGGAATGAGCCACCACGCGAGCTCCGCCGTTTGGGAGGCTGGAGGGACTCCGGCACACACGTGCAACTCACGTTCCTATTCGTCCAAGACTCAAGCTCAAGCTCAAGGTTCAATGGTTGCAGCGGCTCACATCGCGGGTGCAAAGTCTGGAGATATCCAGGCCAATCGGAATGACCTGAGGGCTGACCGCGCAAGGGGACACCCGAAGAACGGATACAGCCTCAAAGCAAGTTGGCGAGCGACCGTCGTACACCGGGCGAACAGCAGTTTGCTTGTTTTGCATGGCATCAGTAGCTATAGGGAGCTGGAAGTCGGGTGAGCCCAAGATGAGGTTAGGAAGAGCAATATCTGCAGCACAATGTGCAGCACTCATTCTATCTTGTTTCCATTGGTCAATTGCCTCTTAATGGGTGCATCGTATTTTCCGACGCCTTGGCGTTAGAGTTCAAGCCCAGACAACATTGCCTTGGTACCTTGTCAGCTTATCAGCCTTACGGTCCAAGGGCTTTCAGCTATCGATGGAGCTCACGCGTTGTACTTATCACAAGGTAGGCCCATCGATGCTGAGCTCTGGGAGAGTGTTGGTGGCAACCGTCTCACTTTGTTTCTTGGAGATGTCCATGGAATTATTTGTCCATCCTCAGCTGAACTCAATTGAGGTTCCGGGATCAATGTCAGACAGAGCCATTCATCATGACTTCATCTTTAGAGGGGTAAGCATCGATCGGCAGGGCGAGCTGCGGGTGGCTTGTCAAGGTTCGGTTTGGCTTCGGCTACATGGATTGGCGCCTTTTCCGACGGTTTGGCTTATCCCATCTCTTCATCCTGGCAATTCCATTCTTTCAGATGGCTACCTGGACTCAATGATTTGGGTATGCTTTCGTGACAGCTCCAACTTCGAGTTACGCTATGAGCATGTTCGTGTACACAGTATCCCACTTGGGTTCCAATGTCAGGTCACATGGAGAAAAGACTCCGAATGACTTTATACTGGGACTTTGGTGCTAGACTTCAGCTGAACGCACGCATTGGTGCCACTCATGTCGATGCATCTGTAGTGTAACGCGAAGCCTTCAATGACTCCTTCATAGCTCGTATCAAGCTGCAAGATGCTTAACTTTAGAGTTACACAACACGGATATCCCGGCACAATGTCATCATTTGCGTGCGACCTGCAGCAGACTTAGTAGGCATCATCGCGACAACAGGTAAGAGCTCGATGTTGCGATACGCAAGCGAAGGTGGCTACCATGCCAAACAAAAGCTATGGCTTCTTACTGAAACAGTAAAAGGTCCTGATGAAATCACAAGGCTGTTGTTGATGTGTGTGCATGTGCGAAAAAGGATTAGAATGCGAAAAAAGAAAAGATTGCGGTTTATGTGGATCGAACACATGACCTTCAGATTACGATTCCCGAAGTTTGACTTCAGTCTGACGCTCTCCCAACTGAGCTAAACCCGCCAATCAACTAAGCGATAAAGGATCAACTTTTCATTCAATCTATCAGCCAAGCCGCGGACTGCACTCCGCTGTTTCCCTGCTGAAGCTGCTAAGAATTCGTTTTTTGAAGATTCGAATGAGAAAGCAGACAGTCATCATTCCACGCTCATGGCCCCGCTTTGCAGGCTGCTCCTATAACCAAATTTATTAGCTGTCAGCTGGTCCGATAAGCCAAGACGTTCAAGGCTCCAGAAGTTTGTTTGGCAATTGCGTTTGCTCATAGCAGTGACAGAGCCTCATGTCCAATTTGTTCCCCCAGGGTCATTATTTGGCATGTCATCAGTGAATCGGGTCTTCTCCGCTCACTTTCCAGGCACTAAAAAGCGGCTGTTCGGGAAATTCTTGCTTGGCTGAGGTCATAGCTTAATTGAAGGATTCGACAAATCTCCCTTCATCTTCCTTCGCCGTGTTAACATTCGCTGTTTCATGCCAACAGAAGCAACGCGCCTGGTGCGCTGTGTTTCTCTTATATGGCCAAGGCTTCCTTCCACTGAATCAGCTGCTGCAATGACACCATCGTGATGCCTGTGACACTGTTGTACAAGGCTGAGCAGGGCAAGCACGATCCTTCGCGTTTCATCGATGATAGCGGGTCGCCATGATTGGCACTTTTCGCATCTAATTTAACTCCCCCACTGACCGACCGAGCAAGGAGAATTCACGGATATAAACAACGCCTTGTCAGCCCTTCACTCTTCATTTCCAGAGTCACAGCACAATTTCATTCCGACCGACTATGGCATTCACCAAAGTCGCGTTGCTCTCCCTTCTTTCGCTGGTCGCGGCCAGGGACGCGCTACAAAGCCCCACCGAAAGCCCTGTTCTCGGCGACGTCACCCCACAGGGCTGCTTCAGTTCCCTCCCCAGCCAAGTCGATGGACGATCCGATACTTTCAACAGCGTCGGCTCATGCGCCAACTACTGTCAGAAACAGAAGAAGACGGTAGCGATACTCAAGGATGTGGAGTGCATTTGCGCCGATATCTACCCGGCCAAATCTGCTTTGGTAGACGACGACAAGTGCGACACGCCTTGCCCTGGATACGCCAAAGACGCCTGTGGTGGAGAAGATGCCTACAGTGTTTTTAACCTCGGTGTGGAATTGTTACCTGGCAATGAGGGTGACAAGAGGCCGGGCACAACTGCTCAATCGGCGGGCTCGACCAAAACTGCTGCTGTGACGACTGCGACCGAAGTCTCTACCACCAACGCTGAGACGACTTCTGCGCCTACGACTGAGGCCGAAGAGACAACATCCGCCACCAAGCCTGGAAAGGCTTCCGCGACCGAAGCCACAACGAGCGACAGCACTGCGGCGTCTACGCCCAGCGCATCTGCATCATCAGTCCCCGACAACGCGTCACGCAGACTCAATAACCCGATCGGCAACTTGATTGGACTTTTGCGACACCTGCTATAATGCTGGGCTGGTGATCTGGGATTGAGGGTTAGTCTGTGATGTACGATATCAATTGAGCAACAGGTTATCCCGATCATAGAGGATCATATCAATACACACATGATAGACTTAGGCTCATGTATTAATTGATCATAAAACTTTAAGCTCTTGAAACCTCTGACGATAGGGTTCTCCTTCATGGGATGCTCCAGCGCATCTTCAATCACTGTAAATTGGGGTGATGTACTACAAAGTACGACTGCCAATTGACTGACTTTTTGTGCCTGATCAGCTAGTTAACGCTTCAATCTCTTGGCCCCAACAGCAATATCTTTACGATGCTATTCTTCTTGCAGATCCCGACCGCTTTATAATTCATGTCATGCCTTGATAATGTGCTGCTGGTCAGAATGCGCCTGGTAATTGAATGTGCTGGTGAAAAGAAAGTGAAACGACCGCTATATATTTAGGGGATGCCCGCTGTTTCCCAGCGCGATCCACTCTGTTTAACCACTAGGAACAAGCCTGGGCTATGGCCTCTGAAAAGACCACCAAGTTTCCATCACAAGCGTCATATCTTGGGTCCATTGAATCTCAACGACAGGGACAACAGTTTTGACATCACAAGCATTTGGCTCTTCGCAGCAAACGGTATCAGATACAGGTAGTCATATGCTCATTAAACAAACAATTTGTATCACCAGCGGCCCAGCCCAAACAAGCTGGTCCTCGTCTGGCATGACAAAAAAACGTGGGGCTTCATCAACACGTCAAAACTGTCGATGCACCATTCGCAACCTTGATGAAATTCGGTGGTCCAGACAACTCTTCATCAGGATGCTCCTTTTTCTCCTCTTCCAAAGCCCACTCGATTGTCCTCGGCGTATCAGTAGTCCAAACGAGCCTCATGAATATCCCCGTGTATTTCAGCTCAGAAGAGTGCGTCGAAACCCAATGTTCTACGCCTCCAACCTTTCGGTGCAGTCCAAGACCACCTTTGGCGCCATAACATGTTTGGATACCGCCAGTATGACTCTCTTTAAGGCCGTGCAGCATCGCAAGCTTCTTAGTCTTGGGCTCTGATGCGAGGAATGCTTCGAGGGGTTTTGCGTCGAGCTGTACACCGTGAGGGGAGTCTAGAATTGCTTCGTGGACCTCTTCGCCGTTCGCGGTATGGGACCAGATTATGGCAAAGACAAAGTTCAGTTCGCTTTTGCCGAGTATCATCAGTGGTGTAAACCATCTCGGAACTGGTTCGCCTGGATGTAGGTCTGGTGAGTTCCAAGTTGTCGCCGATGAATCGAAGTTGTTGATGATTTTGATGGTCTTGAAGTGATTCCATGGCTCGATGATAGCAGCGCCAGGTGCCGTTGCTATGACCGGAATCTCGGGAGGAAATGTCTTTAGAGTCTGTGGATGTAGATGGTCAGAGTAGAAGAAACCAAGAAGGACAGCATCGAGTTGTCTTGGCTCTTGGGCTTGAGCATTTGCTGGCAAGTGCGCCGAGGCAGCTTTCTCGATCTCGCGAATCAGAGTCTCCAGGTCTTCAAAGGTCGAAATGCCCTCCTTTTCAACACGTGCAAGGTGTACGAACCATGGATGTCCAACGTGGGCAGCTCCATTCAGCCATGGTTCAAAAGCAAGATGGTAGAAGACCTTCCCTGTGGCAACCCTCTCCTCCTCAGGCCTAGGGAATGACATCAGCCAGCTGTTATCGCCATTTAAAGAGGTGAGTATCGGTCTGAGCGGTTTGCTAGCGTCCGAGAGGTGTTTTGTAACGGTTTCTTGCGGTGATTCAGCCATTTTGTAGTTCTATAGATGCACCAGTGAAGTTCGGCATGTCGAAAATGGTCTAAGGTTGAGCTTAAGAAGTGGACGAGTCGATGACGGCATGGGGCGATGGGAGTCTTAGCTCATTCCAAGCAAAGCGGCCGTGCAACGTCGTGGACGCCCGCTCATGTTGACTAGTTGGTGATCTACAGGGCATCGCTGCTTCGTCTCACGGATCCATCAGTGAAGCGGGGCATGGGACGGTAACACCAGTTCAGGGTCTACAAGAAACAGTGCCATAACCACGGGAACTCTGTTGCATTGTCTGGCTAGAGAAAAAGACCTCGTGGGGATTGTACTGATTGCATCTGTCGCTAAAGAAACGGGGACTCTAGTGCAACTAGTTGAGGTTAGGTCATAATTCCTATTGTCTCACCAGTAGTAAGCAAGCGAACTAAAATCTCATCGACCATCGTCTGGACGTCTCCCCGGGGCAAAAGCGGGATTCCGGATCCTATCTCCGCAACACTGGGATGGCGACACAAGATCGATTGGGCTTTGCAGTCTTCCACAGAAACTAGGATGTGATGTATGTGGACGAGTGAAGCATTCTCCGCCTGCGAGTTCCTTGCCATATCAACGGCAACACTGTACAAGCATAATCCAGGACCGGGGCCTCGGTTGCAAGGCGAACCAACACGCCGCGAATGCAGGTGTCAATCCCTTGCCCAGATCGTCAACTGTCATCACAGGATGACGAATAGGCAATCTTATGCGTAAGCTTACGTGAAATTGCGCTGTGGTGTTGACTGCAAGCCAGGCTTCCATTTGATCCTCGGCACCCTTTCCGACGATTTCCTTCAACTGTCTTTGATTCGTCAATCCTCACAGGTTGCATGGAGCTTCCACTTACCCTGTATGAGTATAGATCAAGACGTCAATTTCCATTTTGCGGGGTAAAACATGCATTTAATTAAAGAAATATAATTCGGCAATCGGTCAAGGCACTTTACTTCACTTTGTCACATTTCAAGTGGCAGATTGTACAAAGTAGGTTGTATGTTGGTACCGGTTTGTTGATTTGATGTATGGTGCGGTCAGCTGTTAACATGGGTTTGGGCTGCCCAGTCCGACCAGGACTCACCGGCACGGCATATCGGGTCTGAAGGACAAGCATATTATTAGCACATGTGCAGATTAGAAAAATACTTTTGGTCCCAGTAAAATGATGTCGCGCGAAGGATAGCACATATAGCATAAATTAAGACCATCAAATTGAGCACATCTATCTTCACTAGACGCTCAATAATAGGGTCTTGCAACCAGCTGATAACCTTCCACAAGATTAAGAAAGAAACAGACTGCAAGCACTATAATTGATACCTCAAATAGCATAAAGATAGCCATTTATATCTCATTTGACCGCAAACTCACTGTTCCATGTTCTGTCTGATCCAATGTCGGACCGATGCCAAGGATAACAGTCGGAGGAAAGTAACGGCGATTATGGCCGATTGACAGGTTCAGCCTTCGCTTATTAGACTTTCATCTTCATAAAATGCAGGCATTCTAATTGCCTTCGTGGAGGGGTACTGTAAACCCCTCAACTCACCTCGGCCCTAAGCAAAGACATCATATTGTACCCGAGGCATGGTCTTACCTCCGCGGGCTTTGATCTGTTGACAGAAACAGAAGCAATTCCACAAAATTATTGGTAATCCTTGGATATTTCATTGTCTCACAAATCGATAAAAACGCCAAGTGATTTCTCTTCTAATTAAAGAAGGTCTTAGTAATGACCCGCCCGGGTTGTAACAATGCCGAGGGATATGCTACTCAAACTTACTCAGTACTATGGAGCAGTAGTCCAAAAACGATGAAGATGAGATGTCTGTGTCTGTGTATTTTCCAGACTATTGTTAATGTCAAACTAGCTGCTGTTCGTTGGGCTGAAAAGAGCAAGTAGTTCGTTCCAGATTATAAGCATGAGGGCCACGAACCGTTACAGGGATGCAACAGGCTGGTTAGAGACAAAGCCACATAATAGCGTCGTCATAGCGTTCAAAGGATCTCCGGAAATGATTCCTAGCGATGATATCAGGGGTCCAATCGATCCAAGCACGGCCAAGTCTTGTCTGTTCCAAACAAAGCCACAAAACTCGTGTCATGTCAGTAGCGTCCCGGATACATGGGAATAGCTTCCTAGTTCTTACTCCAGGTCTAAAAACCATTGGTCTGGCCATGCTAAGTCTCGATCGGTTCTCGGAGGCTTTTCGTCCCAGCATCGCCAACGATCACCGCTAACAAGTGCCATAACAGGAATGAAGGCTTCTTCACCAAATGAAGCTATCGGGCTTTCGGGAATAGTGCCACAGAGCCCGATTTCTCAAGCGAGGAACGCTTGCAATCGCACTAATCTGCCGTGCATATAATCCCTGTCTTTACCCCTGAATCTGTGATCAAGCTCTGACCCTTCACGTTATCGTTTTCCCTGGAGGGTTATGGAGTCCGAGTACCTAACGTGAACCGTTATCTATGGTGGAAAATAGCATCATGAACTTTTGAACGAGCTTGGCGGACAAGATCAGCGACGGCTGGCTGTACGCTCTGACAATGTCCACATAATATCCTGTATATCTGCGGCTTTGCGTTACAATCAGGCGATTACCTGCGTCCGGGATCCTGGGTCGAGTCATTGTCTGCAGCAGGGCTTCAAGCCACCAACTTGGCAGCTTTGCGTCAGCAAGAAGCAAGCAAAAGTTCGCTTAGGTTAGTGGTTTCCCAGATCTACGCGGGGATTCGACTGACTGGCTGGGCATTGATTCCAGCTGTGCATGCCACGTAAAAAAAGAGCCTTTAGCAGAAAAATTAACTGGCATGACCCTAGCAAGCCATATCGACGCGTCAAACTGAAAGCAGTCACTCGAAGCGCTGGGGGCAGATCCATCGATCGGGCTTCACGAGTCAGCACCCCTGGCCGGACTAGGCGTTGTCCGCGAGATATCCTTGGTTCGGGGACCTCGATAAGGTTCACTAGACTGTGCTACTAAAAGGATGAGATGGGTGGAGAGTCAAAACGCGGGGAATGGGCCAAACTCTGTAATACCCGGCGGATTTGGAGCCGTTTCTAAAAAGGAGGGAGAGGGCCAGTTGCTCAAAATGCCAGCCCTGCGCTGCCTAGATTTCGTATTTGTTTTTCGCGCATGTGAGTGTGGATTTCGACATCGCATCGCCCATCATGCTTGATGAGAGCGCGACGTCGGTGGACCCCAAGGGTCTAGGGCGTGTTCTGATTGTTGTCTCCATCATTTTCTTGATCCTTACAGCGATAGTTGTTATTCTGCGATGTGTTGTTCGATTAAAGTATCGTCTCTTTGGTACTGATGATGGTCTCATGTTTATCGGATGGGTGAGTCTGTGTTACAGTGAGACAAGATAAGACACAGCACTAACCCAGTCAGATCCTACACGTTGCATTCACTGCTGCTGGTATGCGTGCCATTTACGCAGGCGTGGGAACAAAGGATAAAGACCTCAACGCATACCTGCAAGTCGATGGTCGAAAGGTACTTCATCTCGAGTATCGACGCAACGCCCCTGCTAACCAGGATGCAGTGGATGTGGATTGGCCAAATAATATACAGTTTCTCATTGACGCCTCTCAAATCGTCCATCTGCGTTACTCTCTTACGAATCGCCGTCACCAAAACTCATCGAATCATTGTCTGGGCAACTCTCATCTTTACCATTATCACTATGATGTATAACACCATTGGCACCTTTTTCGCATGCATGCCCATCTCTGCCAACTGGAACGACCGAGAAAAATGTTCTCTGCCATTCTTAATCAGTCTAGGCTATGTTGTGTCCATTAGTGCAGTTATTTCGGATTGGATTTGTGCTATTTTGCCGGTCTTTATGCTCTACAAGTCCCATATGAGGAAAGCCACCAAGGTCTCTGTCAGCATTATTCTTGGTCTGGCTGCACTGTGAGCTATAATGCCAGCCTCAATTTTCACGTCTAACATTGAAATAGGGCCTCACTCTGTACTATTGTTCGATTACCTTATTTGAGCGCGTTCTCGCACCCTGATAATTACCTATGTCAGTATCTCACGAGAACAGCCTTTTGGTTACCAAACTAACAGGACTAGACAACGTTGGAAACATCGTCCTATGGTCCACTCTCGAGTCAGGAATTGGAATTATCGCTGGGTCCTTACCGTCGCTACGAAAACTCGTCAGCTCTCGTTTCCATTTCGACTCATCGACGGGTAGCTCCCCAGCTCACATTACGCCATTTTCCGGAACTAGTAGGGCTGTTATCACTTCGCAATCAGTGTCGGCAGCACGACGAACTCACAGGGGCGAGGTTGGCGATAATTGGGAGCAGCTTGACGACGTTGAAGGCACATCCAGTCAGAAGATTTATGTCAAGGTGGACTTGGAGATGCAGTCTCTGGAGAGACCAGAAACATCGAGAGAGTCACATGGGTCCCGTGAAGATTTGGTACATCCATAAACAGACTTTTAATAATATTTGTATTCTAGCTAGACTCTAAAAGGGACAACAGTACAGAGGAATGTGCCCAGCCTTGCGTGTGAAGGATCTATGTGCTGGCCATACGATGAGCTAGATGTTGAATTATATGGTAAGTTTCATAAACTCTTCGTGAAATATCAACTTGAGAAATCAGGAATTCCATAGACTGTAGCATAACTCACGGTTCTGATCTTCTCTTTATGTCTGCTTTCATCCGTTTCTTAAGCTTGTCAAGGATATTTAGGACGAAATGAAGACAATTGACCACACTTAAACGATGGAATCCATAAGATAATGAGCTAGTATGTAACGAATTTTCATATAAGCATGAAATGCAACGATGTTGGCCTTCTCAAACATGCCAAAGTTACTCAAGTTATCTAACATGGTAGACAACCGTATCGATAAGATAGACATTTGCTAATCGTCTCTCCTAACTGGCTCCACGGTGTCAAAGTGGGGACGGCGTGTGAATGCCATGAAATGCCGC